AATGCAATTTAAAAGTTATTTGTACTTTCAATTATTGTCCATGACTTTGCGGCTTGACTAACTCAAAAAATACACAGATCATCCAGAACATCAAAAGTAGTCACCTGTTTTACTGTTGTGCCACTGCAGTAGTGTTTGAACATGGTTGCCTCCCTGATGACCAGCATATAAATTGTGTATGTATCGTGTATTCTAAAGAAGAACCTTATTGTTATTTGATGCAATGCAGTAAACTCTCTGGATGCTGCACTGTCACTCTGTCCAATAATCAATGCTTCCAGTCTGCAGTTACACACTAGAGAGACAAGTGAAAAGTGATTTCCCAGTGTTTTTTAGAAAACCCAAAATGCTCCTAGTTTTATGTCAAAACAAATACTGTCATATGACAATGCAGTTCAAATTGTCTGTCACTGTCAACATGCATTCTACCACAAAACCAAAGAGGATTTGTATTAACTAAACACAGCTTATGATTCCCCAATAACTACCTTATGTTGTCACCAAAACAACATATCAACATACAACATGACAATATAAAGCTGGTGTATGCGTGGACCGTGTCTGGGTGTGTGCAGGCTGCGATTTTGGGGCTGATTCTTTCCCAGTCCGACCGTGTGCCTTGTCCTGTCATGCAGACGTATGGGGGAGGCAATCAAACACAACAAAACAATAGGTTAAATGCTAATTTAATATGCCAGAATGAGATCCCCCTTTCAGTACTGTGGATAGCGTCACTCAGCCAGGTGTGCACACTTATTTATACTTCAATTATTAATAGAAAATAATTTCAAAAACCAACAGCACAATATGCTGTCAACATAAAAAATAAATAGGCTACAATCACATGAGGGCGACTGCTGACAGTGAAAGTCCAATTCTGATTTTATTCTTGTTTGCGCTATGGACTGTTCTACAGGTGGACTGTCCATCGGGAGCACCGGGAGAAATCCTGGTGGACTGTCACATTGGTGAGGCTGGTCAAAAAATCTGAAACGTCAGCAACTGGAAATGAGACAATATGTTTACTGCAGCACGTCAGTAGGCCTACAGCAGTGCAAGTCCTTATAAGAAATATAGGGTTTCTGTCCAATGAAACATTTGAGGGCTTTTAATTTGAAATAATTATGACTGAAAGGGTTATTAAAACATTTAACTTTAACAGGGCAAACAGGAGCGTATCAAAATGAGGCATCATATCACTCTTCTTTTACATTTCACATTGTAGCTCTTTGTCGTACCTTCGCATGATAATAATTTTGGGTTGCAGTTTATTTTGGATGGTAATGATGAGTTATTTATAAAGCACATTCAAAAACAACAGACATTGTTCAAAGTGCTGTACAGAGAGTTGAAATTATGGGATTATTTGATTGATGATTCCAATGAAACAAAAACAAAGGACAACTATGATGTCATCATCATAGTTTCTGACAGCAAATTTAATCAGTTGAAGTCAATTGAATCCATGTAGCTATTGATTTTTTTTCTCTTTTTTTTCATTTGCAGTGTAAACCATCAGGTGTAACTTCGTCCTCTGCAATTTCTGGATTTTAAAGAAAACTTAAATTTACACCAAATTTCACACCACATACCACAAAATGACAAATAACATAACTGTGAATGTCTGACACAATATGAACAAATGAAATCGCCGGCCCTCTCAGCTGCAAAGGTTTCACTCTCAAGACAAACAAAACAATCAACAGAAGAGGACGCACGCACACACACACACACACACACACACACACACTCACTCAACCAACAAGGCATGACAACGTGGAGAAAGAAAGATACTATTTTGTTCATTTGAACTGATCTCTCTCAATAAAAATGTCTGTAAACCTCCATATTATTCTGAAGCAGGTTCACAAACACTCGATCTGTTAAATTACACATGGAGAAATGTATCCAGTGATACATGTCATTCTATCACGCTGTGTCCACCTGCAAGTAAAACATTACAATCACTCCATCTGCTGGAAAGAAGTGTCTCTGCATGAAAATGACTAATGGAAAAGGTAAAGAGAAGAGAAGAGATGAGAATAGTCACTGAAGAGTTTATACAAAGACAAGGTCACGATCATACCCTCTATGTTGGAAATGTATTTGGTAGTAATTGAGAGTACACAGAAATAAGCAATGAACAGGTGTTTTTAGTCATGCTGCTCATTCTGCTCAGGATAAAGATGTTCTGTGGGAATTACTTGAGATCACTGAACTCAATGTACTGTGCTGGAAGAGCAGGTCTAATCAGCTGCATTAATTGAAAACATCTGTTTGGGTGGTGTGTATAGGGCCTTCCGGATTGGTAACAATAAATTGGTCATTAACCATGTTTGGTATCTGTTTGGACTGTGGTACAATATGCATAGCACATTTTGTGTTATGTTCTGGCCAAACAAGCATTTTCCTTTATGAAAACTCACTCATAATGACTGGATGGATGACATGGATAAAAAACACATTCTACTCAGTGTTTCACAAAAACCATACCAGCAACATAAATGTGCAACTTTCAGAATCATCGTGAACAAATAAAGAAAGAACTATGGAAGCAGTGTAGACTTTATAAAAAGCCACATCAGCTATGACTTCAGAGAGTAATACAAGAAAAACAAGAGGTCAAACTGAGAGAGGAATTCAATAGGCCCTTTTCATGGGAGACATTTTGACATGTGACAGTGGAAGAACTGCAGGTGTAGCTGATATAATTAAAGATGGCTGAGTTCCACTTAGCTGCCTCTGTTTCAGTCCTTGGCTGTGTCGTATTTACTGTATTGGGCTCTATATTTACACTCTGCCATTTTATTTCAGTTTTTTAAAGTCAGAAGCTGTATCCCAGTTCCAAACTACTTACTGTATGTGATATACTACTATTTATTTTTTATAATATAGGCCTACTGCTTTCTGCAATTAGTAAATATGCAATCAATATGCTTTATTGTATAGAAGTAAACTTGACAAACCGACAAATAGAGACATCAAATAGTTTATTTCTTAGATGTTCCTGTTTTTCATTTGTGGACTGATGTTTATTATAAATATTAGAGGTGCTTCCAGTATTCAAAAAGCTGTTCCCATATTCACATTCAAGTGATTGGGATAGAAGTTTCTTGGAGCTTTGGATGCCACTGTATAACCTACATATATTGGAGAGGTTCATTTGAAGGCTGGGAAAGAATATATATACAGTAGGTATCTTAATGGGGATAAGTTTTATCCATACAAAAATCAGTGTAAAAATTACAAGTTGTGCTGCTGCTCCCAGCATTTATACTAAATTAAGCTAACCATCTCCTGACTCCAGTTTCATATTTGACAAAGAATGAGACTGAAAAATATGGAGCTCATCTCACTCCTGGCAAGAAAGCAAATGAGTCTGTTTCCCAAAGTGCCAAACTATTCATTTCACTGAGGTGACATACAGCAGATCTCCCGAGGCACAAGGATTGTTGCACATCAACAAAAGAATTTCCAACAGTTCCTCTGGATTTTATTTTGTTGCCATCACTGTTTCACAGCGGATCAAATCTCCTAGGAACCATTTCAAAAACTACATCGAGTTAGCAGGATAATACTGCACTCATAAAACCCTGAAGAGTTTTTTTCAGTTCACAATCATGTTGTTTTTCAGTTCCAGATCTGGTGGAGTTTTACCTTTGTCCTCTGCTGTTACCCATCTACCCTCATTAATCCTGCTTTGTGAGACAAGCCCCAGATGTTGTGTATGAGGACATCCCACTCTGATGCCGTTCACACAGGAGACAGGGTTGGCCCTTGGTGATATAAGCTTTGAAGGTGACATTATGAGGCATCCTTCCAGCTGGCAATGGTAGATAAGGTGAACCTAACAACTTTGGTTGCACTGTCTCTCTGCACCAGCTGTATTATACTGGTTTGACTTAAAAACAACAATTGACAATGTACATGTGACACAAAATTATAACAAAATATAACACAAAAAAGTCACATGGCAGAAAAAAAGCCATCTGAGGTTATTGCAAAAAAGTGCCTACTTGTTCACAGGTCACACACAAACCGCAAAATAAAATACCCCAGTATTCATGGGAATGTGATGGAATGTCAGCTTTGGTTTGGTGTACAATAATTGCTTAAGTATGGTCATGGTGATTCTTCCTCAGGCACCAGTGGCTTTTGCGCATGTCCTAAACAAAGGTCAAGTGTCTGGTGAGGACTGCCTGATAAATGCCTTCACAATGAACAGGGTGAAAGCACAGGGCTTACAGTAAAAAGCAATGATAAAATAAAAGTCAGAAATGTCATTTTTCTTTTATGGCACCAAAATATTTGTAGTTTCAGCAGTTAACTACACTATGCACAGATGGATGTAGCAGAACTACAAGCAAGACGCTAAAAAACTACTAATTTAATTTAATGTAGTTCACTACTGAAAATAGACCCAACACTGAATATAGACATTGTTTTCTCGCAGACACGTTGACTTCTCATAGCAGGAAAAACACGGGTGAAATAAATGTTGTTAACTATGGATCACTTTCATCCAGTATCTCAATAAGCAATGCCCGTGAGCCATTGCAGTTTGTTCAATGTTATTAGCCTTTTCGTGTTGTGACAAGCTAAACGCCGGCTGTGGGAAGGTGTATAGAGTTACACTAAACATGCACACCTTGCAGAATCAGCACAGCATTGGATTCAACCGACAGAGGAGGGCAGCAGTGAGCGGTATGAGCTACATGTTGAGATGTTATGGTCAAAAATAGATCGTCGACTGTGCCGAGATAATCTGCTGGGCCCAGTCTTTCCCGAAACAATATGTGAAAATGAATTATATTATGTTGCCGCTGTTGTGATGCATCATACATTTAAAATCACAGATATTTAACTAGAGTTTGGCGGCGTGAGAAACGACGTTTATTTTAGCCACACTTCAACGCATTAATGCATGGGTCGTAATCGTAGTGTAACATTGGAAACTATCCTGCAGCAGTTTGTGTGGGGTTTTTTTTTTGTTTTTTTGCCACGGTGGCTCTGTGTCACGGCGGCGCGCTCAAGAGCTGCAGACTCAGGAACGCGCGTCGTCCTTTGGCATGGATGGGATCAGCAAGAGGGACGCGACTGAAAGGTAACCAGCTTTACAGGCTTTTCGTCGTTCAGGCCAGCGGCAGTGAGGTGAACCGCTGTATCAGGCGGCGTCGAGCATCGACGTGGCTCGCTTTATGTCGGCATTTGGTGAAATATAGGCCCGTGGGACACTCGAATACACGGACCGCCCTCAGATCAGTTCGCCGCCAGTAACTCTGAGAATACTTTGCATCAGCGTTAGCAAAGAGTGGTCCCGTTTCGTGGACAAAATCACTACATTGTTATTTGCTCTGTTGCTGTAAACGCTGTGTCCGCCACAGGCCTGTGCCGGTGTGAGTTCTGAGTGGGCACACAGGGGAGCACGTATCATCTAAGTGTCAAAGCTACAGCACAGAGCAAAAATGTTGCTGCTTGTGACCGGAGAACATCCTTACAGATCATTTAGTGTCATCGTGCTTCCTCTCGAGTTACACTTCTAATTTCTTTTCTTTTAAACTGGCTACAACCCGGTCGATCGTCTTAAGTTGAAGTTCCCCAGACACCTGATATTTTTAGGGTTGCTGACTGCAGACTTCCACACCATATGCCCGAGCCAGTTAAAGGAACAACTTTGACATTTATATGACAGGCTGTTAGAGAAAGTGATGTGTAGCAGAAAGTCACTTTATCCTGAATCTGCACCTGGTGATGTAGGAGGGGCTGCAGCTGTATAACAAGATGGCCAGGTCAGCTGACCACACACATCACAACCATTAACATGGAGACAAATCTGTATCTGAACAAAAGCAGCTCCAGATACTACACTGCTGTGAAAATTAAGTTTGTACTGTTGAAAACATAAACACTTATTTCTACCTGTTAACTGCTTTTTAAAAAGGGGGTAGAGCATTTTGATTGCTATGTCTCTTTAAATAATTGTGTTTGGCATTGTGACATTTAAATGATCCTTTATCTCACCTTGTAACCCATTATAACTAAGTGACTAGAATGACCAGTTGTAATTGCTTCTGCCTTAATTTAAATAACATTTGTTGTGTGGTTTTCATTTTCAGGCTGGTGTAAGGTTTCCTTCCTCTGCCCTCACCTCTACATACAGCAGCCTCACAGACAGACGGAGCCACCAGCCTGCAGGAAGAGTGCTGCCCAGCCAATGTTTCATATCTCCATTGTCCCAGTGCAAACAGTTGGCTGCTGATAACTGCAGTCCACTCAGCTTGATTGGTTATAATCTAGATGCCACAGGACCCCAATACAAGAGTCTGCTGAAGAAAAGAATCTGAGGATATAATTATAGTTTTTCCTCGTCATCCTTGAAGTTTTCTTTGGTAGTTTTTTTCTTGGACCAAGTGCAATCATGGGGGCCACGGGCTACGGCTACTATCGTGTGGTCATCTTCATCTGCATGTTCATCGGCTACTCGCTGTACTTCTTTAACAGGAAGACCTTCTCCTTCGTCATGCCCTCTGTGATGGAGGAGATTGAACTGGACAAAGATGACCTGGGTAAGGCAGTAACATTAACTGTGCAACAATTAGGTCTTTAATGAGACGCTTATTTGACAAAAACATTGTGCAATAACGTATAAATCTGGCTTATTTAAGCCTGCCCAAACATACACAGTGCAAAAGTATTAACATGCGCTGTGGCAAAACTGCAGGAGACAGACATGAAACTACTTCCAGTCATTTCAAGTATATTCACCCAAAGCTGTATTATTCATTGAAGTGCTCCAGTTGTCAGTTTCACCCTCACCCACCTTCAGCCTCCACCTTCTGTTCGTGTATTCATGTCTAATACAGCACTTTGCTGTGTGAAGTGTTGTCTCCTCACCTCACTTGACTTTGATGCAGAGTTGTAACTCTTTGCTTACAGCTCAAGGGAAATAACCAACAGTTGAAAGTGGTATAAAAGACTAAGAGTCTGCAGCCATGATAGCACCTGTGAGTCTGTACTGAGGCACAGGGAAGTTTGTAACTAATGCCATCATATTTAACAGGGTTGGGGAGAATTCTATTACTTCTCCTATTACTTAAGGCTGATTTGATATTATTAGCAGTGAAACAATGTGATTCTCAGTTGTTGACGTATGTACAGTTCATGTCTGTTTTCGTAAAGTCTCTCTCTGCACATGTGTCTGCAGGTCTGATCACGAGCAGCCAGACCATGGCCTATGCCATCAGTAAGTTTATCAGCGGCGTGCTGTCAGATCAGATCAGCGCCCGCTGGCTTTTCTCCATCGGCCTCTTCTTGGTGGGCGGCATCAACGTGGTCTTCTCCTGGACCTCCACTGTGTCCATGTTCTCACTGCTCTGGTTCATCAACGGCCTGGGACAGGGCTGTGGCTGGCCCCCGTGTGGGAAAGTGCTGCGCAAGGTATTACCACCTCGTGAAACACAGATTCCTAATTCAGTTTAGTTGTGATGTTCAGAGCCAAAGGAAGTCCCGCTCTCAACACGCGGGACTCTCTTGATGTCTGATTATTCTGGGCAGCTAGTGAAAGGGTGTAACCCCAGAGTGGGAGCCACCTGCTGCAAGACATATCCTGTGTGTTTGCTCTCTGTTCTCTGAGAAAGTGGAACTGTGTTCAGAGTTGTTTGCAGGAGTCCTGGCCTGTGCTGTCAGACAGTACCGATCCGGAGGCCGTAGGCAGTGCTGTCTGGTTTAAAGAGATATCAGCTGTATGAGACACTAAGGCAGAAGTAATGATACCAGCAGTGTTGGAATTACATTTTAAATGTTGGTATAGTTGAGCTCTTAGAGCAGTGGACTTTATACATTATAGGCAGGACTCTGAAAGTAAATACTCTTTGAGCAAAGCCTAATGCGTTCTGCTGTATTCCTTGTGGCTCTTAAGAAGCATGTTCAAAAGGTGGGGAATAAATAGCCTTGGCATGTGTTCAGTGTGCGGTAGGGGATCAGATTACAGGGCAATGTATTTTTAGAAGATCCTCAGTAAATCTTTCCAAAAGAAAACAACATCGACCAAAGGTGTTTTCCTTCTCTAGTGAGAGGAAAGTCAAGTCTTTAAGCAGTTTGCTTCAGCTCTGCAGCTCCTGCTCCACAGCTGAGTTCATCTCTACACACTGTGGATAAATGCAGCATTAAATTAGCCTGTGGGCTGCCTCAAGTGTTTGCCCAGTGGATTCTCAAGTTATGGGTTACTGGGCTGCTGTGTTAGGAATGTTTATGGCCACCCTCAGCTGTATTACATCATGACAGGGTGTGGCTCTGATGTCATTTTGCACGAAGCAGTAAAATAAGAGAAGAATGTGAACAGTGTTGCACTTTAGAAGTGTTTCTGCTTTTTTCTTTAAATCCGTCTTAATTGTAATTAAATTCTGCGAATGAGAATGTTCCTTCAGGAAAGTAGAGCATGAAAGTAAAGAACACTATGTGCAACATATGATAGTTGTAAACATGCACATGAGGGGAGATAAGTCTGCTTTCTTTGACTCTGCCTGTTGTAGTATTTTGGAAGTGTTGAATATTCTCTGCTTGTTCTTGTTTCTTTTCCATCAGTGGTATGAGCCCTCCCAGTTTGGAACATGGTGGTCAGTGCTGTCCTGCAGTATGAACCTGGCCGGGAGTCTGGGTCCAATCCTGGTCACGGTGCTTCTGCAGTACTATGACTGGAGGGCTATCCTGACCATGTCCGGCATTTTCTGTGCCGCCTTCTCATTTGTTTGCCTGGTGTTTGTAAAGAATGAGCCAAAGGACGTGGGCCTACCCAGCATCCAGCCAGCAGCCAAGAAGGGAGCGAAGGGAGGTAAGCAAAGAAAGAGAGAATTATAGCAAATAGAGAGGCCACTTCCTGTGTAGCGCAAAGCACGTCAGTCACATGATGCCGTGTTGGCTTCCTTTAATTTACAACTTCCCAAAATTGGGTCTGTCTCAGTCCCCTCACTTGCAGCACTGGTCCAAGTAACCATTAACACTGCAGGTGTGTGTGGGTTGATCAGATCATCCTGACCTGTTTTACAGCTCATACGTGGCTCAACTGAGGCCAGATGCTTCAGTTGAGCAAAAATGCCAAATACTCTGTTATTCCAGCTTCTCAAATGTGAGTATTTGCTGCTTTTCTTTGTATTACAGGATAATAAACTAAATGTCTTTGGGTTTTGGACTCAGGCAACAGCATTATTTTATCCCACCAGTGTGAGATACTCTTCATTTGATTAGCTGGAGCTCAGGCTTGGTTAAATCTTAAAACTATCAATGTAATGTTATACATCAGCTGCACATCAGACACCAATATTCTGATCTTACCAACATCTTCAGACTAGATCTCCTCCATTGGAGATCTTCCTCCTCCATGATCACTGCTTAACCACCTCAGTGAGGAAGATTATGACTACCTACACAGTCACGACTGTAACCCAAAATCTGTTACCACCATGCATGAAGTAATTATCCACATCAAGGAGAGCAGGTCATTGATAATGATTCGGATCCCAACAACAAACATGTCCACCCACGTCCTACACACAGGCGGAGCAGTGAATCAAAATCTCAATTTCTCAGTAATATTCTGTTTGCTCCTAAATCTCTATTATTTAAAAATATCATTGCTAAAATTGTCAAATCTGGCGTGCCCCAAGAAAAATACTGTTCAATATGTAGTTGCAATATATACAGTATATTGCAACTACATACCACTACATACCACCACCATTGTATTAATTCTTCGAATGTCTTCTTTTTCTTCACGTCCATGAACGGCTATTTATTATCTATTAGTAATTCTTTCCGCAGCAATGTCACAAGACTTTAGGATACCATCTTTTTTATCGGGTAGATATGTTCACATAATCATTTCCTTGTTAGTCCATGTAACAAGTGGAACAATTTCAATAACCAACAACAAACTCTGCTTCTAGCTACGGCCTTTCTGATCATGATTACATCTCAGACTCAGACAGTTTTCAGGGATTGCTAAAACTCTGAAGCCTCTGTTCTTCTAACAGGACTTAGGACTGCAGCTGTGTGGTGATGCTTTTGGAGAGTTCACCTCAGATCTCTGCTCTTTGTCATCAGATCATGGCGGTGTGGATGGCTGGAAATTACAAGATGTTTTGGGAGTTTTTAACAGACGTGTGCGACTCTTTGTGTTTGGATATTTGAGAACTGATGTAGTATAATCAGTCAGATACTAACATCACCAACTCCATAGATATAGTACATACTGATCTAGGTGGGACTTTCCTACACCATATGACTGGTATACTGTGTAGAACGTGTGACTAACATAGTTGTGTGACTCTACGTAATTCTGCATTTACTATATCCTGAATGTATTGAACAATGATCTCTTTTTAATGTGAGCACTTGACAGTACCACTCGTGTCTGTGCTCCCCTCACCAGGCAACAGTGAGAGCACGCTGAGTGAATTCCTCCTCTCTCCTTTCCTGTGGGTGCTGTCTCTGGGCTACTTGGTGGTGTTCGGGGTGAAGACGGCTGCCACTGACTGGGGACAGCTGTTCCTCATGCAGGAGAAAGGCCAGACTGCTCTTATGGGTACTTGTTTGATTGTCCTTTGCTTCTCATTGGTTTTTCATACAGTTGCAACGGGAAGTATTCACCAGAAGGCAACAGAAGCTTGTCAGCACTTCCTGAAATTGTTTATAAGACGTTATGAAGGCAATGCTCCAACAAGCATTGAGTTTGGGGGTTGAATAATAGTGCACATGGTCATTTGTCTAGAAAACTAAATGTTTTTCATTTAAACTCAAAATTATGTCAGCTTATGTTCTCAAAACTGCTTGTATGTATCAATAAATACTCTATTTAATCCTCTACACGTCGTCATAATACCTTTTTAACTTGAGGGATTGAATATTTCTGATTGCAGCTGCGTAATGTGACTGGTTAAAGGTACTGACCTCAGCTGTGTTGCTAACAGGTAGCACCTACATGAGTGCCTTGGAGGTGGGAGGTTTTGTGGGCAGCCTCGCAGCAGGCTTCATCTCAGACAGAGCAGTAGCTCGGGTGAGTAACAGACGCAAGTTAATTAGACAAAAACTTTATCGTCGATTAAATGACAATGTTATAAACTTCCCCCCTTTGACTTTCTCCAGCAAGGCTTGGGCACCCACGGCAACCCTCGTCACGGCCTGCTCATTTTCATGATGGCTGGTATGTACGTGTCCATGTACCTCTTCAGAGTCACAATCACGCCGGAAATCCCAAAGGTAATTCTCTGTTGTGTTATCTAAAATCGCTGTGTAAAAAATTTGAAATTTACATGACTACAAGAGTTTTTCTTTGGTTCAGGAGGCTCCTCTTTGGGTCCAAGTCATTCATCCTGTGTCCGTCCTCATTGGTGTGTCAGAAAAAGAGGTATGCTCAAAACTTCTTAAATTCAGGGGTTAATGGAGAAATCTTTCACCAACACAGTGGTTCACATTTTGTTTTTGTCCTTTACAGATCTGGATCCTCTTCCTTGGTGCTATGTTTGGATTTTCTTCTTACGGACCAATTGCCTTGTTTGGGGTGATAGCCAGTGAAAGTGCTCCTTCAAATTTCTGTGGAACCTCTCATGCTGTTGTAGCCCTGATGGCTAATGGTAAGCTGCAGGTGCACGTGACAAACTAAGCATCAGTATTACTTAAAGGTACCCTGTGTTTGTGGTAAACAAACATTAGTTACTTTTACATTGAATGGTTCTCACAAAAACAGTGTGTGTGTCCTTGAGGACTAACAAAACACGCTGAATGCATTTCCTTCCTCATAAAACATCCGTGTGTGTGTATGCACAATACAAACAACAGAGGGCCCACTTGTGAAAACATTCTCCCATAGCACTACTTTTTATTCTAAAGTTTACATGGTACCTTCAATATGATATTGCAGCATTGCCTGTAATCCATCTTTCTCTGTTACAGTGGGGGCTTTCATGGCGGGGCTTCCCTTCAGCACTGTTGCCAAACGACACAGCTGGGACATGGCTTTCTGGGTAGCCGAGGTGGTAATGGCCATCGCAACCATCGGATTCTTCCTTGTACGCAACATGCGAACCAGAATGGGACGAAGCGCAGAGAAAATGGACTAATGCACCTGCCTGAAATGAGCCAACTGTCAATGTCCTCTTATGTGACTGGACAGACTGTGTTTTTGCACTGTTGAGTCCTCTGTGTGCAGAAGACTGCACATTAATACAGATCCAATTAGACCAAACTAAACCACGGTCAAACAAAAACTAATCTGACATTTTGTCCTGATTTATTGGGTTGATGTAGATGCTCAGGGCAGGTGTAGGTTGTTAAATCACTTTAAATTCACAATCAGGTCTTTTTGTCTCACACTTTTTTTCTCATATTCAACAGTACAGTAAGTACAGTAGATCGCAATTGTTCATCACATGATCACATTTTAGTGCTTCCTCTTGATCCTAGAAAACAGTTTTCATATAGGGAAATTTAAAAGTTGCTTTATGACAGCTGTGTGCTAAAGAGGCGTGAAAGTCTGTAAAGGTTTGGGTGGATTCTGTTGAGATGAAACTAGCTGCTCACTGCATACCCCCACTGCCTTCAATGGAGGTCGGTTATATTTAACATATTGAATGTTTACTGACGGTTCTGTAATTTATAGACTATTATTTGTCTAGGTATTTGCACAAATGTTGTAGCATGTATCATGGTCATCGATCATTTTACTGATACCTCAAGTATTTGTAAAATTGTAATAGTTTCATTATTTCACTGAAATGAAGTAACTGGAGAACATGTTATTTTTATACACAGTTCTGTGATAAATGATACAGATACACTGTGATGCAGTAATCTGAGACCATGTCAGCTTTTGTGATCTGACGCGTTTTTAAGGGTCTATATACATCAAACTTTTACTACAGGTGTTTAATCACTGCCATTGTAGTTGTGTACAACAGTTACAACCCTGGATTATATATTGTTACCTTTCTCATCTCTAAAATCTGTGAGTCGTGTCAACTCTATTAATAAGGGATCTACACTCAGTGCCACATTGGCAAATTTCTATCTTACAGGAATTGTACCATGGACTTGAAAGATTAAGGAAACCTAATAAATGTGAAGTGTACTTTGGTGGTTTTATGTTTAAACTGTCAGTAATTCAATTTAGCACTTACATCCTTACTGTGAGATTTTTTTTCGTCTGTCATGGACAAAAAGACTTAAAGCCTTCGAAAAACTGGGAGGACCATGTCCGTGTCTATATAACCCACATGGTGAAAGGACTTTTTTTTTCAAGTCCATCATACAGTCATACTCTCAAGTAACTCAAGAAATAGTAACTGTTGCATGTGTAAAAGTTTGGATGCCATTCTATTTAAACTTCACTAGGTGGTGGAGTGAACTACTGATTTATTCTATGACAATGTATTGAACAAGATGATTATGCCATATTATTTCTTTTGTCCCTTTATTTTATACCCATATTTTTATTTTATTTATCTACATCTGAATAGTAACCAGTAACTTTAGCTGTGAAATAAATGTATTTGAGTTGGAGACTTTACACCACTGCAAACATCATACTAACATTTAGACCTTCATAAGGAGAAATATGCAGTTGACTGGGGCGTCTTGATTTCCCATCTGAGTTGCAAACCTGTAATTTTACCGGCTCACAGAATGATGCGTGCAAACAGACCCCTCTCGATGGGTGCACACTTCAATAACCGGAAATCACCGGTCATACATTTCTCCATTCGCTGTAAAGACAACTGGAGATTTAACGTGTAAGCCAGCGGTATACACGGTGATAGAAAACATAAACTAGACAGGGGTGTGTTTGCAGTGTGGACTCCGGAAATCATTTGACAGCTTCGTTGGTAAATGCCAAAGGTTCTCAGGTGAACGTTTCACGTACATTTCTCTTTGCTTTTTCTCCGGACCGATCACAACTCGTGTTGTGAAAGCAGCGCGGAAGAGAACGTGCTACCGGAAGTACATCGAGGATACGTAAGGACGCAAGACGTTATCGGTTTGTTTACTAACAAAGAAGCTTCATACAATTTTATGGAAACGGATTTAAATGCATCATGATGTGAGCAAAGGTAAAAGACGATACAGAGAAAACAGCGGCAGATAAACGTCGGTTCAGTGTGAAACTGTCCATGGTGCTGAAACTGGTCGGTCATCTGGTTGCAATGGACACAGCTCCTATAACCATCATTTTGAGACTGGCTTTACAGGTGACTGAGAACATATGAATCTTAATATTCGTTAACATGGGTGGTTAAAATGCTTTAATGCTTCCTATAAAATGTTTTTGTGTTAAACCATAGACCTGACCAGTTAAAGACTGAATGTGACCTGTCTTTGAACTTGTCATCACCTGGGACATTTCTTTTAATATCTGCACCAAACTGCAAATTTTTTAAATAAAAGTTTAACCCAAATTATATTTATCAGCCAACAAGTCACAACAACCTCCAGAGTGTGTTCGGCCTGTGACTTTGATTTTTGTACAGTTGTACCATAAATGAACTAATCGTTCAGTGGCTTATTACTAATATATAATAATATTTATTGTTCATATTTATAGATACTTAGGACTACAGTATATACATCGTATACATGGTTGCAAGAATTGCACCACTGCATTTATTATGCACAGTTGACCTATAGTCTAATGAATTGTAATGAATATTTTATATGTAGCTCTTAGGTGCAACTTTTTTCTTTTTTTTTAAAATTTAAATAGGTCTTTATCTGTTTTGTTTGTCTTAACATGAATTTCCTCTTGGAGAAAGCCTTACTAATATTGCTATGAATACTGAATCCTGCAGTGTATGCTTTCTAACAGGATATTTTTTCTTCTTAATAAAGTCTCATTAGTTAAATATCATCTTATCCATTCTAAAGATCAAATACACCTTACCTTTTATTCATAATGTAATGTTTCTAGTCTGTGTATCTGTAACCCAATTAAGTGACTTTTCAGAATGAAACAGCATAACAACTACCAACTGAGTTTTATTGGTTTGTTGATAACAATCATTACACAGGTACATCTATAAACAGATAAAAATAAACTGCACACTTGTACTTGATACAGATACCTAAAACCCACATGAATATTGCTACTGCTGGTATGCATTTGACATCTCAAATAAATGTACAGTTTGACTGTTGGCCTTTAAGAAACCAGTCTCAACAGTGTTTTTTATATGGTTACACACCTGATTAGCTTTACTAAGAAAACAAATTCCATTTTACCATCCTTACAATGTACCATTACACACTGCATATAGAAAGATTGAAAACCCTTTTCACAGCAGCTATACAAATTTATTGCGATGCTATCACAGAACAGAGACACAACCAACACACGCGATGCAGTTCTGATAAGGAGAGCTCCAGTACTAGGAATTTTAGGTTTATTGATCAGATTCGTTAAGAAAACTGCATGAGTACAAGAGTTAACATATAGGAACAAAGCTTACAAACATTCTAAAACACTGTTCTTCATTATAAACAATAAAACAATGAGTTGCCCTGTGACTTTGTCCATCCCCACCCCAGCACAGATTACATACACTGTCCCTTATAAAGCATATGGAATGTAATCCACGCAGGCAAGCTCCTCCGGTTGTTGCCCCTGCTCCTGTGAACGTCGTGCTTGCGTGTTGACATGGTAACCTGTCCTCCACCCTCCCCTCCTTCACATTTAAAATTGAAATGAAATCCACTGACAGTAACAACAATGACCGCAATATTTATGGCGATGCAAAATTGTGGGATGTGATGAAATTCCCGTCTCCAAATTGACTTTTTTCTTTCATTAAAAAAAAGTGTTCTCTACAATCAAACTACTAAAAAACCTGTATTTAGAAAATAGTTGATAAAAATATTCCCCTGAATTGTACAAGAAAAGAGGTACAGGGAGCACTGGTAAAAGACGTGGTTTGAGAGATGTTATTCTGCTGCCTCATCTTTTTCTTCAGCTGCGTCCGTAGCTGGTGCCTGTAAGACAACATTTAGAGAGTCAAAGTTACATTACCAAGTATATGACCTTTATTTTTCTGTTTATATATGATGACATGAACTCTTACCTCTTCCTCAGCTTTGGCTTCGCCATTCTCAGCAGGGGCTTCTGGTGCTTTCTCCTCAGGCTTGGCCTTCTCTACCTCCTTAGCTTTTTTAGGCTTAGCAGGTACCTTCTGCAAACAAAAATATAAACTCCATTTGTCACTGACAATTAACAGTACAGAGTCCAATAAATCAGAAGTAATCAAAACAATAACCCACCTTTGGCTTAGGTTTGGGCTCTGCCTTTGCAGGTGCAGGTCTCTGTGGGGAAGAGCAGCATTAACGTCGGCACAAAGAATACAGTGAACAACATGCATATTGTCTGTGACTATCTTTGCTTATTGTACTTGTAGTCTTTTACTTACATCTTTCAACCTGAGAGATCTCCTCTTGGGCTGCAGAGAGGGGCAACAGACTGTGATTACTTTTAATATTCAGTATCAGCCAGTCGTTCTCACTTATGTGATGTTACTGACCCCTGGTGGATGTACAGACTGTTTCATTATTTTGAGGATGAATAAAACATGGATCAATCCAAAGTGTGTTATTCTGTTTATTCCTTACCGCTGAATCACCTCCTGCAGCTGCCTGTGAGAAAAAAAGAGACAGAATCAGGTTAATGAGAACGTCTGTATTCTACTGTGCCTATGGTGGGTTTAATTGCTGGAGGGGAATGGAGCATGGGCTTTAAGTATTAGTTATGTAATTCACAAGTGGGCGTTTCCAGACAAAATATTAGCCAATGGCTGCACGTCCAACTTCATACATGATTTAATTCAGACAGATCACTGTGATTGACTGAGATAAAAATCTTGCACGGTGGACCTCATTTGCATGCTCAGTACATAAAAACACCACGCTGTTGTATGTGAATAAGACCTATTAATTAGTCGGCAGGATTACAGCCACTGTATCAGTTAGAAATAATGTTAATAATAATGATAATGATAATAATAATAATGATAATAACAACAACAACAACAACAGGAAAATGTAGTTTAAACGGCATCATGTGGCTTGGTTGTGCTTTCCCTGCTCCTGCAAGTGATTTGCCTACTGTAAAACTCCGGTGGAGGAGGGGGCGGACTCCGCCTCCTCACGACACATCCATTCATTGGTAATAAATGGGATTGCCAGTGTAGGGAGAAAACCGAGCAGTGTAGTGAGGGTTCCCGCCATCAATTTGAAAAGAGTCACTCCGAGATGCTCAGCGACTCTGTCGGTCTGGTAGCAGAATCTACTAGAACCCCCAGCAACAGGAGCAGCGCTGTGCTGACGGAGGCTCGCCATTGCATAACCTACAACTGGCCTGAGCCGACAATACACATAAAGACACAGGGCTATCGCGACGAACGCCTTCCCACAAATGCATTTTTCCATCGGTCAAAATAATGCACGGACACTACATTAACCAAAAAAAAACCCAAACAAAAGACACATGCACGTTAGGTTTAGGAAACAAAGTCGCTGATGACATCATATTAAAAGTGTTTTTGTTCCACAAGAGAGCCACAAACAGGACTTGGTGCCCGCGCAAAAATAACAACCCCAACATTACAGTTAAACTCCCACTGAATAACACGCTACTACTGAGGTTTGCGTTTTCAATTTGGGTCCCATTTTCCCTCCGAGAAACTTTAGTATCCAGCGTGACGACCCCCATAGGAAACAATCAATATGCCGCCAACTTTCTCTGCAGAAAAGCGACCGATCGACGGAGAGAACGACCCTGCTTTGTCCTACACTGCAAGTAAATGTATTTAAACACTAATGCAACTGTGCATGTCACCACTCTGCGGTAAAAAAGGAAAAACCGGCACACTGAAAATCGCTTGGCACAAAGATAATCACTGCACAAGACATAAGAGCAAGAATCAGCCAGTTCAGAAAATCAAAACAGACGCTACATACCGACCAAACTCTGGGCTGCACGGCGCAACACTGTTGACATTCACTCGGTGCAGAAAACGAACATTTGTAGCAACATTTCAGCAACTCTGACCGCCAGCTGTAATCAGCCCGTTTCACAAATTGCACTCGTGGGGTACAAACGCTGTATTTCTGAATGCATGAAAGATATCGGTCTACTCACTTTGCTCCTTTTAGGCATGGTTGGTTTGTGTGGGGGTGTTTTTTGAAAAAAGGAAAAAAAAGAGCTGAATGTTACTGAATACAGGAGAAAATTCAGTGGTATATTCTGGAT